AAAAAGAACCAGGGTATAACTGTAGCCCTTCACATGACCACAAATGTTACTGACACTTTACTTTAAAACTTTGGTTAGTTCCTATCTTAATAAACTTCATGTAAAATTCAGAGCTGCCCAATGAAGTATTGAAAATTAAAGATTAATATTAACAATGAACTATTTTTTTTACATGTTACATTTTGTTTTTTTAGAAATAAAGGCCAAAACCTATTGTGACATGAAATTTGAAGATAATTAGAAAATCAGCAACAATAAGATTGTATCAGAAATCTAACATGTTGGACAATTTCAGTAGTTAAATGCTACCCGTATATATGAAGTGCGTTTCTTTTGTCATATTACTTTTTATTTTTAAATCAAAGAAAACATTTCAAAAGGATTCTTCCATAAACTTCTACATAGTACCTTCTGGAAACTCCCTACTAAGAAATACTTTTGCACTTTAATTTTCTGGGATTTGAAACTTTAAAAAAATATTCATTCACCACAGTTTTAATAAAAATATTATCACTTTTCCCCCCTATAGCCCTGTTTATAATTATTACTACATATAATTTTAGGCACGTTAATATAAGAGTTAAATGTACCCCTTGTTAAATATTATTTTAAAAACAGACAAATCCAAGCAGCCAAATAAATTGGGGATTTCTTTGCGCCTTGGGGGGATATCTCTAACCAAAACCAGGTTTTAAAAAATTAATTGATTGTAAAGATTTTATCTTGACACACAAAAATTTACAATTTACAAAAAAAGATACAGAGATATAAGCACTGAAAAAGGAAAAAGTAAGAATTAGGTTTGCAGGCAAACCTGAAAAAAGTACAAGGGACACATACTTCAGTACTAGCTCGTCAAATTGGAAAACACAGCAAGAATTTAAACAGAAAAACCACACAGAATCACTAAGGTTGCTAAGTTCCCATTAGACCACTCATAACAACAACAACAAAAAACAGCAACTTTATCACAATCATTGTATTCACAAAGATCATGACATATCTTCAGGTAGATGAGGTGGGCGACTATGGATTTATTGGACACAGTCAAGGTTATATTATCTGAGGACCAGAACCATAACCTGTATTTTTACTTTTTGCCTTATCCCAACATATAAAACATTGTTTTCCACCTGTACAATGAGAAGTGTTTATGGTATTGAAATCAGAGCAAAGTGTCAGATTTTGCTTCAACAAAATGCAATTTCTAATTTATTGACCATCCTGCATTCCTCCTTTACCATGAATACACAGGACTTTGTGTGGTTATTTTAAAGGGTTTTACTAGGTTAGTTTCTCTTTAAATTGGTATGTCTCTTTAAATACTGTCTGATTTTTTTTTTTAACCTGCTGTAGCCCAAATATGAGCACTCCCACATATTTCTCATCCTACCTAACACAGACTGGCCCCATTTAAAACATATCCTATAATCAACCACTTATGCTATTTTCTTATTTAACAAATCATTAAAGCCAGGCTTCACTCATAATAAATCTGTTTTATAAGAAATACAGGTATTAATAAAGTAATCTTAAAGTAACCTTCATAAAGGGAAACAGAAATAAACAGAGCAGTCACTTCAAACACAATATAGATAAATCAAATTTAAAATTTTTAGGAAAAAAATAATCTTTAAGACCATATGCTAAATTTTGAATAGTTCCACAATTTCAATGGGTTAGTTGCCCAAATTGGTGTTGAAATTGAAGAACGCCAAAAGTAGAATTAAGTCTGTAACCCCCTTCCAGTCCCATTTATTTTAAACATGCACTGAAAAGTAGTGTTTATTACCTTTCTGGAATATTTAATAATACTAATTTTAAATTAAAGTTTCTAAATATTTTTGTGGCTATAAGAAATAATTCCATTCCTAAAACATAATAATTAAAATAATAAGTCATTCCGGAAAAGATGATCACAAAGGGATTGGCGTTTAGGATACTAACCCTAATTATTATCTATCTCTCCATGAGGTACTGAACTTTAAAGCTGTTGAAAATAAGCAATATTATTTCACACTGATTCCAACTCTTCAGCCTATCCACAACTAGCAAATGTAGTTTGAAACAAAAATTACTATTCCATCATTTAATTTTTAAAACATCGTTGTTTTCTTTTTCAGTCCTTCTAAACTTTGTTACCCTGCTTGGATATGCTGCACTCTTCTGGGCGTAGAATTTCACAGCAGTTATCAGAATAACTAAAGCCATAGGTCGGTTTTATCAAACAACAACCTCCCATCAACAGAAACAGTGGGCATGTCACTCATTTTACTCAAAATAAAGACACAACAAATAGTGATGGTTAAAATGAACAGTTAGTTGAAAACTGTAATGAGACTTTTTATATTTTCCTATGCAGTCTAACACCTGAAACAACGGTACTGTGGGCACCTTCCTGTAAATTGCCAGCTGTTTCCTTTGTTTTTAGGCAAGCAGGAACAGAGCTAGTCACGCTTCCAGAAAAGGGGGAGGCATAGGATAAGGCTGCTTCAGACTAGCTTTCAGAAATGAGAAGTCAGTAGTCAACTTTTTCCTCTCTGATAACCCTTCGTTTGCAGAGTAACGGGAAAATTACAAACACATTTTGGAAAATAACGCTGTCTTGAAAACCATCTCTATTGGACCAAGTCCTTACTTCCCTGGAAGTAGTCACAGCCAAGACTTAATTTCAACAGAGTGTTGAAATTTATTACTTGAAGCTATGGCATAAAACTGTCTTCTTTAAATGGAAAATTTGACTAACTTCTATGAGGTAAATGAATTTTGAAAGTGGGAGTGGGTGGAGGAGGTACACAACTTTTTTTCTTTAAGTGGGAGGGGGAAGGATGCAGACGAAGCATCCTGAGCAACCACAAAACGATGAGTCTCTTAGGACGCTAAAGGATGTTGGACCACAGAGCTCGAATGCTCTCGGATCACAGCTCCTCGGCGAGGGACTTTTGGTTTGACTGCCACCGGGCACCGGGGGAATCCCCGCCTTGGGTAAAAAGAGGGAACTGGAGAAAAGACACGTTCTGAACAACCCGGCGTCGGACGATTCTCCGCGAGACGTGGCCTTCCCGGGACCCCTCGGAGCGGGCCTGGCGTGGCCCGGGGGGGCGGGTCCCAGGGCCGGCAGGGAGGTCCTGCGTCAGTCCGGGCGCCTCCCCGGCCACTCGAGGCCAAGGAGCCCCGCGACCCGGGCCCGAGGACCGCGCGGGATACACTCCCCGACCCCGAAACCCCTCTCTCCCCACCCGCTTCCCTGCGCCCCGGGCCTCCGGCGCGGGTCTGGACGGCCAGCCAGCCGCAACTCCCGCCAGCCTCGCGCCTCCCAGACCCGCGACCTCCCCGCCCCCGGCCGGGCCCCCGCGAGGCTGTGCTTCCCGTAAACTCCCCGCCCCGCGCGGCCCCCTCCCCGCCTCGGCCCCGCCCCCGCGGGACCCTGAGCGGTGCGTGATTGGCCCGGCCGCGCCATCACTCTCCGGACGCGTCACCGCCCTCGTTTCCGAAAGCTCGGAGACCGGCAGTGGTATTAGTGCTCGCGGGGCCGCGGTGGAGGGCGTCGTGCAGCCCTGCTCGCTCCTACTCGCCCGCGGGTCGGCGCGCTAGCCCTGCCGAGCCGCGACCGGGGCTGCGGGGTGGCCGGGCTGCGCGCTCAGCCGCCGCCGGGGAAGCAGAGGCAGCTCGTCCCAGCTCCGAGATGGGGAGCTGGCGAAGTTGACGAGCCCCCCGACCCGCGCTGCGTCCCTCCTGCCCAGAGGCGCGCTGCCCTCTCCAGGAGGTGCCCGCACGCGGCCCTGCTCCAGGTGTGCGCAGGACACCCCGCCCCCCGGGACCCGAAAACTTCCCCCCAAGTCCAAAGAGGGAGCTCTGAGGGCGGTGCCCGGAGCCGGACTCCCCACTCCGCGCTGGGGGAGCTGTCCCGGCGGCTCGCACGGCCGTCGGAGGGCGGAGACCCTCTGGAAACTTTATCACCATCATCGTAATTACCACATTTTACTGTTTCTCTCCCCGCAGGGGCTGCAGCCAGCGGTCTGTCGCGCGTGCTTGTTTGCCAAAGGAGCTGCCCCTGGGAGAAGACCCACGGAAGAGTTGTTTCCCCGGCGCATACCTGCAGCCCAGCCCAGGGGCTTGGGC